TTTTTGCTGCATTTGTAAAATGAACATTATTCTCATATTCAGTGTTAAGATCTTTGTGAAAACAACTTTTAGACATCATTGGTAGGAAATTGTTTCTTTTTCAAAAACAATTTATTTGCTGTATAAAGAGAATAGTAATAATTGAAGGCAGTGTTGCTTAACAGAAATAATATGCAGGTCACAAATGTGAACTTACATAAGTACATTTAAATTTACTAGCAGCCATGTCTAAAAAGTAAAAAGGTGAAGTTAATTTTAATAATGTATTTTATTTATCCTACATATCAAAATTATCATTTCTGTATATGGTTCCAGATAGCAGTCGAGTTTCATTCTTTTGCATGTGGCTCTCCATTTTTCCCAGCACCATTTATTAAAGAGGATTTTTTTTCTCCATTTTATGTTTATGTTTCCTTTTTTGAAAATTATCTGCCCAGATACATGTGGGTTTATTTCTGGGTTTTCAATTCTATTCCATTGGTCTGTGTGTCTGTTTTTCTGCCAATACCACGCTGTTTTGATTATTGTTGCTTTGTACTATAGTACAAGCTGAAGTCAGGGAGTGTGATACCTCCAGCCTCATTCTGTTTTTCTTGGGATTGCTTTGGCTCTTTGGGGCCTTTTGTAATTCCACATACATCTGATGATTTTTTGTTCTATTTCATGAAAAAATTCCATTGAGATTTCAATGGGGATTGCATTTAATCTGTATATTGCTTTGGGTAATGTGACCATTTTGACTATGTTGCTTCTTTTACTCCAAACTGACTCTGGGTGGTGAGCACACAATGTGATCTATGGATGATGTATTACAGAAATGTACACTTGAAACCTATGTAGTTTTACTAACCATTGTCACCTCAATAAATTTAATAAAAATTATCATTTCAACATATCAATATACAAATTTTAATGAAATACTTTACATTATTTTTTCATACTAAATCCTCAGAATCCAGTGTGTATTTTATACTTACAGCACATCTCAATTTGGACAAGCCACATTTCAAGACCATACCTTATCAGACAGATTTAAACTTTCCCTTTGTTGTCTTTACTTCTGGGAAACTTAATTAAAATAATTATTTTATTCTCAGTTTTCAGTGTGCTTATAAAAATTCTTTTATGTCTTCTGATTTTTCTTTAATTTAAACTACTCTGTATATATATATATATATATATATATATATATATATATGTATATAGCTCTGTTATAAATATTCATTGTTAACATGTAGGTCTTATGTCACAGATAAATAAAATATCATTTTCCTGTAAGCTTTTGTTGAAAAATCATTTCCATATGCTTCATTAAAATACCCAAATTCTTTCTGCAGAACTGCCTCAGTTCCATATTTAAACTCCTGATTCTAAAAATCTAAGTAAAAATTAGCATATCCAATTTCCTAATTTATTTTCAATTTATCAGGATAAAGAAATAAATGACCACAAAGAAGAAATTAATGATGCTAAAATGAGGTTAACATAAATGATTATAAATTACCTGTCATTTCCAAATAGCCACTATTAATTATTAAGTACTTGGGATACAATAAGGCTACACAGCAACATTTTACTATTGATAAAGTCCAGTTTTACATTTAAATTATATTGATAGGAAATCTTTTGGTATATATGGTATATATTATGTTTTTTTAGCACAGAACATAGGAAGATTTTGAGATTTTTGATATCCAATAAGCTCCTGGATTGTAAAATATAAATCTTAAACAGTATGGAATGCACTTAAAATCTGAGTCTTCAAATACATTCCAAAAATTTTTAAAAAGTCATATTTACATTAGGCCTGTTAGGTCCAGGAGGTACTGCATTCATTAAAGTATACATGTTGTCTCCAGAGTTGGTTGAATCTGAAACAAAATATTACTTAATTAACATCTTTCTTTATAATCTATATGCAAGTCATCACAAAGTAATAACTGAAGAGGAGCTGGGCGCATATATATCAATAGCTGCTGCACTTGAAACAGTCATTAGTAATGTTCAGAAATGAACGAATACATGGAACTCATTTTCTGAGGTCGTAAATTAGAAATATTTATCTAAAATGTTAGGAGTTATCACTTGCATAATTCAGGTCAAAAGAAATTACCTTAACAATCTAAAAAGTTACAGTAAAGGTTTTTTTTTTTAAATCATGGATATTTTTCGACTTCTCTAAGTAATTTAAATATATACATATAAAAAATCTCTTAAAATTCAGATTCAGTAGCTTTTCAGTTTTTATTGTTTCCTTAGCCTTTTTTATACCAATTAAAAAATAGTTTATTTAGTTAATAATTAGTAAAAACTGGTGGAATATCCTGAATTAATTCTAACAGAGAGTAGAATAAAACTATACAATTGCTTTAAAAAATTATCTTAATTGAAGTAAAAGTCAGCTTCCTCCGGCACAACTTCTGATAATTGTTTTTACTTATTATATTCTTGATTCATTATAATACAAATAACTGTAGGGTATAGCAATATAAATATATGTAACATTTTACAGCATTTAAAAAAAATTACATTTCAAGTCTCTTAGCTAACTCTAAGTCTCTAAATATGTATATGTATTTTNTGTGTGTGTGTGTGTGTAACTAGAAAGTAAGAGAGAGCGAGATCTCTAAATATATTTTCTGAAATGATGTTTTTAAATCTGATAAAACGTAAAATGGACATTTGAAACAATACCTGACAATATTCTGAACCACATCTTTACCCTAAAATTAGCTTTATTTTAAATTATTTTAACAATTAATTTTCCTTGCATAAAAATATTACAATATTTTAATAGTACAACATTCAGTCAACAGACACAAATAAAGTTAGGGCTTATTAACATAATTAATTTGTAAATAAACAGGCTTAATAAATTGTTAAATACTGAAAAAAAATATATAAAAAAATGTTCACTATAAAAGTAATAAGCCACATGCCAAGCATTTGTGAAACTTTTCTGCAAATTCTATTCTAGTGAATAACATAATAAGGCTCCTCTAACTATGTCCAAATGTCATCTTTTTGTGAACAATTTTACAAAGTAAAAGATTGGACAGTGAATTATTTTGCAATAAATTGGAAAATAAAATTCTAGAATGGTGCTGCCCAGTAGAACTCTGTGTGATGATAGAACTGTTTCTCGGTGCTGTCCGTTCTGGTAGCCATTAGCTATGTGTGCCTCTGTGCACTTGCTATGTGGTAGTGCAGCTGAGAAATTAAACTTTAAATTTTATTTATTCTTAATTTAACATTAGTCACATATGGCTAGTGGTTACCAAAACTGGGCAGTGCAAATTAAGACTCTGAAATGTAGGCAAAATAAATATGGATCTTTAAAAGCACAAAAGTCTATCAATGTGTTACAAATAGTTTCTTGATTACTGAGGTTACATAGCTTTTCAAAGTATCAGAGTGTGGCATTCCTGCCTTTGGGTGGAGTTGTGAAATCTGTGTATAACCTAAATTACTCATAGGCACAGTTTTTCCAACCTAAGTAAAAGGTAGTCCCTTTCCAAAAGACAAAAGAAATGATTACAAACCTCAATCCCCATTTTCAACTCCTAAATTAGTTTATGATAATGCTACTTAAACACATATAAACATAAAATAAATCTCTCTTGTTTTCTTTTTTTGGTTTTGCGTTTGGCCTGACCTAGTTAACTTTGTCTCTGTTTCTCACTATTGTGCAACTTTTTGTTCACCTTGCAGATACTTGGCTTTGTTTGACAAGAAGACATCATTTATAAAGTATGTTTTCAACCATTAGTCAGTTACACTACTTGAAATGAGCTTTATCATGAACACAATGTGGTCAGTGTTCTATCTTAGGGGAATCAAGCAGCTTATCTAGAATACAATAACAATTTTATTTTAAAATAGAGACAAACATTAAAGTACAGAGGAAAAGTTAAGAAATTCTTGTAGAGAACTCCAGTTCCTCAGAGACTGTATCTACAAGACCCTAGGAGACAAAGAAACCAGTTGGGAGGATTCCGCAGTCCTCCAGGTGAGGCATACATGACATGTGTCCAAAGCAGCAATGTCTCATTTTACCATAAAACATTAGATTTTGATAGGTTAAAGTAAATTCCTGTGCATATGAACTAGGCCAGAACAAATCTCACATTTCTTATTTTCAAATGGTCTCCAGTCCTCATGACCAATACACTGTAGGTTAAAACTATCNGTTTGCATTTAAAGAAGCCTTTTGTATCTCTTCATAGTGTACAAGGCAATACCTGGTATACAAAAGTACACAATGGTTGTCAATTAATGCTTAAAAAATAAGCAATACGTCATTAGGCAGGAGAATGCTATCAGCAGTAGGCACAGTGCAGTGGAAAACTTGTCTCTGGGAATAGAAATGGGAAAATAACCCTAGTAAGAGAATCAACAGACCTGAGATGAGGACAGGTTAGAAGATGGTATTTGTCCTGTGACACTATTTAAAAGTTTTAAAGTGCTTTATAAATTACAGGTAATCTCCCATATAGAATTCTGTTTACATCTATCTAATGTACAAGGTTATGGTTATAGTGAACATTTTAGAAATTTTAAGGGTTGTTAGTGGAAATTTTAGGATGATCCACCTTTGTGTAATGAAGAATCATCTTTAGATAATAGACTATGCTACTCAAATATAACATTAGAAATTTTACTGGTGATCACAAAACACAATTCAGCTAATATCAATCAACAGATACCTAAGATAGCTGATACAATCATGGTCATCTGAATTGTAAAGGAGCTTCCCAGAGAAAAGGCTCTAATGGAATTATCCATTGACTCTGCTTTTGAAAACAGCCTTTCTTGAAGGCCTACTAATATTATTTCTCACAGAGGTAAGCTAGTGCCCATTACACACATTTATCTATTTTTCAAAAAACAAAAAGATCTTCCTGATTGTTCCTAGACAGACATCCAAAGTGCACATAGAACTTATATGACCAGGCAGCCAGGCAATGTAGATTTAATGTAAGAATGCCAATTAAACTCTCTCTTTTTATTTTTTAGCTTGAAGTCTTAAATTTGAAAGTCTTTTTTTACCTCAATCTTATTTTCTTTTCTTTGGCATTAGGAATTTTACATTATTGTACATGACTATAAATTAGAAGTAGAATTAAAAATAAAGTCATCCTTTAATGAATTTCTGTATTTTTTGACAAAAAGTAGTCTTCTAAGAGAGTCATTCTAGTAATAGTTAATAGTTATTATCAGCTATTCTAAATATATATTTGACCCACAGAGAACTATTTTAAATTCATCGTGACCTAAAAAGTATTTAGGTACACGTCTTCAAAAAATATAAGGCACCTTAGCAAAGAATTAATTTTAGATACTCACACTATTGAAAACTCAGGCACATGCTATGGGAAGGTTCACTTTCCTACCTGTATTAATATAATTTTTCTCTAATTACTTTCTTACTTTATTCTGGGGAACTAAAAGAAGATTGAGGACATCAGCATTGCCTAATGAAGATTTGAAAGACAAATGAGATGTATAAATGAAATGCCATTATAACATATAATAATCCCTTTTTCAAATTTACCTCTTCTCATGNCACCTAGCTTTTGGGGGAGGGGGTGATGGCTTCATATTATTGTAGAAGAACAACTGTGATAAAGGACAAGTACATAAAGGAGTACGCAAAAAGTATACAAAGGTATACTGGTGGCAATTTCTGGCTTGAAAGGAAGAAGTGATTGGTTACTTATCCCCTGTAAAGTCTAGTGTTTCTGCAAAAAATTTCTTTTAGGATTGCAGTGAAGTGTTTATTAGTCACACACTACCTTTACAAATAAACTTTACCATATAGGAATGGCAAATGTGGGCAAGACATTCAATTCACATAATTCTGTCTTCCATGAATTCAGTATCATGTCAATGAAGATGCTGTGAGGTCAGAGATCTACGAAATATTTATGATATATTCCAAAGAGTGGTGGAGAAAAGTAAAATGTTGCATTAGTTACTAAATTTATGCTTTTTCTATATTAGAAAGATTTAAAACTTAAAATTATTTATTAATATAATTAGCAATATTTAATTTCAAGCTTCCACATATCTTAGATTTTAACAAACCAGTTAAGAACATGAATTTAACAGTAGAAAATAATTAAAACCTTTTTCTAATTATAAAAATTTCCCATCTATTTCATTACCTAAAAGTTATCACTGATAAAGTCTTAGCCTATTTATTTTCTACTTTCTAGATTTCTGTCTTACATATATTTTAAAATAAAGTTGAGATCATATTGTATTGAATTGTGAACATTTATTCTCCATGCCATTAAAAATTATTTGATAATAATTTTAATGTCCACACTATATTGTATAAGAATTTATTAATTTCACTAAAATAAGTTTTGGTATGAAGGTTGTGTTTATTGTTTCACTATTGACTATAACAAATGAGCTTCCCTTACATAAATCTTGGATTGTATCTCTAATTGTTTGCAGTAGTAGGATTATAGAGTCAAGTGGTATGGATGTTTTCATGGTTCTTGATACATGTTTCCAGAGCACTTTCTAAGAGGGCTGTGCCAAATGTGAACTGGCACATTAGAGTTTCCAAGACATAACACATTTAATAGTCTGTATTAAAGTCTCATAAAGAAAGGACAAAGCTATTTAAAAAAATTATATTAAATACTTATAGAAATATTGAGGTAACTTAATTTAGAGGATTAAAAAAAACTTTCCACACTACATAGTGGATTTATTAGCTAACTAATAAATACTTATAGATATGTAGGGTAAATAATATTGTAAGCACATCTACATCTATCTTCTTAAGATAATAGATTTGCTATATTAAACCTAAAAGATCCATGTATTTCATGTGTTACTTACGCAGAATTTTTGTAAGCTGTGAGATCTGTATCTTTTGCACAGTCTCAAGGAATCTTTAGTCAGATAAATTATTGGGCAATTCATACAGGTCAAGTCAATTTGCATCCAAATTATATGTTATCTATATAAGAGGAATTTTCTAAATGCTTAAAATAATTGGACAATAGTTATTTAAAAACTCTATTTCTCCTCACTTGCTACCTCTACTTCTGTATCCATCAATGAGACAATGAATACTACAAACTTTCAGAACAATTTCTCAATTTTGTGATTTTATTTTAATAATCAAATGACAATGTGGCTAGCATGATTACAATACCTGCTGGACTAGGCATGATGGGTGTTCCTGGTGGCCCTCCACCTCCTGGAGGACCCTAAATAATTATACAAAATTTCAGTAAAAATAAGGCATTTCATTAAACAATACAAGGAAAAACAGAAGTTAGACTTTTCTCTATAACGATTCAATTTGAAAACAACAGAAGAAATATATTTTTGTCCGCAATTTATTTTCATTAAATGTACAATCACTTCAATCTTATGCAAAACATAATTTAGCTTAAAAATGTTGAGACTGTTTTGACAAGTTTCCCAAAACAATGAGCCTGTAACACTGATTTATTATTCATAGCTTAATCACATCAGGTATAATGAAGTTAAAAGGAAACCATTTAATAGGGCCTTTACAAATCCATAAAACAGAAATAATTCATGTACATTTGTGATTTATTAATAGGTTACTGTAACTTTCTTATATTTTGTATCAGTGGCTTTTATAGGAAACTAAACACCAAAAGACAGTTTTTCAGCTAAACTTGGCAGCAACTCAGCTCGGGTCGGGAATTGAACCGGAGACCCTGTTGCTCAGAGCTCAAACTCTTGAGGGAGCTCTTAATCAACTGAGCCACTCGGCCGCCCACCAAAAGATAGTTATATATTTAAAAATACATTGATTCTATTTCTTTCTTCTATTAGTATGAATTGCAAATTTCTAGAGCATCGTAATTCCATCTATCACATCAGTTAGAAACGAGAGGCAGTGTGGACTAATGAAGCTGTGGGTTACTAAGGCTGCAGCTACGCAATCACCCTGAAATGGAGTTAGGTAATTTTAACTTGAATTCAGTGATTTCAGGCAGCCAAAATGGATAATTCAGACAATGGGTTTTAGAATTTTTCAGATGTACAGTAATCAAAATAACTATTAAGTGCCTACATTTTCACTGTATTTTGAGTGTGTAGACACAGCCCACTAATTATTTCAAATAACATGTTATTTTCTATTTAATAAGCAACTTAAACTTTCATTCAAATAAACATTTATGAATTCATAAAACTATATAAGTTTATTCTTAAGTGACTTTAAGAAAAAACAGGTTTTACCAAAATTTTCTTACATTCATTTTTGTTTCATAGAAAATGTGAAAAAAAAAAAAAAGAGAGAGACTTTCTTTGTAGACCTAAGGGTGCACTGAACACTAAGTTCACAGGTCCAAAGCAGCGTGTGCTTTCCACTATGCTCATGAAACACTATCCTCATGGAGGTGAAAACGCTCATTGATCTTTAGCACTCACTTTTTTCCTACTCCAGTTTGCCACCACCTCTGAAAATTTCTGTAGGAAAGATTTTCCTTTTTTACCATTTTATCCTTGCTTTTCTGTTAGGCATTTCCCCTTAAATATTATAATAGATTATCCTCTATGATGGCCTTAGGGTTTAGCAAGGATTATAATGTTATGATGGTTAAAAGGTGATTTGTAAATTCAAGAGCTCTTATAAAACCTGCTAATTTGACTTCAGGCGTAAGTGAATTATTGAAAAAAATTTCATATGTACTAAATAATAAGAAAAATAGTGTTTTCAATTGTTAAGAACGAAAAAAATAACTTTAAAAAATCCCTGCAAGTTATGCTGCTCTCTGATTCTCTTTGTAATCGGGAGAATTTAATGTCTTCTCAGACTCTGTGTGTGGTGAGTGGGGAAAGGAGGGTGTTGATTTTTCTTCTGGAGAACTGCAAATTCAAGCATATCATTGTGCAAGTGGGGATGGCTTTCTCCATGATTGGACAGGGTGTATTGTACTGGTTTACAGAAACATATGCAGAAGTAAGACACAGCACTCAGGGCAATCTTGGCCAGATTGATAACTGTTTCACTAATGAACATCAACATATGTATTGAGGGTGGCAGACAAACAACTCCATGCATATCAGATGTTCACTTCTTGGCCAATACACAGGGGCTCTTCTTAACATCTGGACAACTGCTTCATTGCCCAAATAAAACGTAACATCAATTCTTATGAATAAACAAACCCGAATGTACTTACTACATAATTCCCAGGAGACGCTGAGGAGTATGGTATCTGGAACATGAACAGGACAAAAAAACAGATATTTTGATTCATGTAGCAGTATGGAGAATGACCTACAATGAACCAATCTTCTAATGTTCATCAAGCTTTCAAATGTATCACAAAGGATAGTCAAGAATAAAGGCATTTATATCTGTCTGAGTGCTGGAAAACTGAATAAATGCAATATTATCTTGAATTTACAAAAGAAAAAAAAAGAGTGACTTTAGTCAAGAAGAATTTAGACAGAATTACTGCTTCAAGTTATATTGGTTTCAGGCCAGTTGGACTCACTGTTTGATACTAATGACACTTATTCTGTAATTAGAAAGATATATATTTGTGCAGCTTAAAACCAGAAACCAGAGTTTTTCAAATTAGTAGCCTTTCAGATGCAACTTCTAATTTATGTGCATTCTGGGATGCATTATTTTTTTTTAAAGACACGTTTCAGCCTAGTAATTCATGCAGTATGGGTCAATATTTGATACATAGACCTCATATTTCCTCCTTTACTTTCTAATTAGCTACAAGAAAATAATATAACAAATGCAAAAGATTTTGTTAATGTTTAAGTCTCCAAAGACTACTAATTTGTGGGGATCAGATACAGGTAACAAATTCCCTTTTTCCCTTCAAATCAAGCTTTTAACCAAGCTCTTTTCTAGAGATTAGAAGGCATTAATACAACATTGCTATGGCAATTTAAAAAATAAAAACTAGAAAACAGATATATAAAGATAAACCCTTGAGTGTGGATATGAATAGAGAAAATTAAATCCAAATATTTTTTTCCTTCACAGAAGAGCTCACTAGCTCACTTGCATGTAGATTCCGCACATCCAGAAGTATTTTACTCTTACTGTGAAAAAAGCCAATTAATTACTATCTTCTTGGAGTCAGGCTCTCAGGGCCACAGCAGGACCTTGAGAGTAGTGAAAAGGTGACAGTGTCTGTCAAAACCTTCCTTCTGCCCTACACCTTCCATACCATTAAACATAAACATAATATGAAACCATAAAGTAAGCAGAAGGAAGCGCAATGAAGTTATGCTTTTCCATTTGTAAATAATTCTTTGATCGGGGAAATACTTAATACTGTTAGAAAACTTTCATCTCATTGTTTGGTGTCCTTGCTTTGTCTTAAGTGCAGACCACATGTCTCTGAGGTCCTTGGCAGGTCTGCCCTGAGTAACTCAGCACTGAGGGGAGCCATTACCAGAGTGCCAGCATCACTTCTGAGGCTTACTTCTGCTATGAGTACTGGCCAGTAAACACTTACTCAACTCGGTGAATGAACACAGCTTTCTCTCTTGGTCCCCTTAGAGTTCATGATCTACCATCCATCTTCTGCTTATTATTTTAAACATACCCTCTCCAAATGATCCACTTACCTAATGGTGCCAATTTTTAATCTCTCTGTAACTTTAGCACCTGGTTCACGTGCTTCCACCTCTCTCTACTGCCTACCATCATTCATAAGCAACCTCCAGATATGCTCTAACCACCCTTTAGATCTTTGGGATTTACACTTCATTGCCTTTCTTCATTTTACAATATACACTCCTCTCTTCCATTTACGAGTATGACCACATCCTGAACTCTTTACAGGGAGATTTAAACAACTTCCTTCTCTGACATCTTTCTTATTCCTTGTGACACTTGCAAAAATTATTTTATAATTCACCCAGAACTTTCTCCCACCACAGTTCCTCCAGGCTTACTAAGTCCATTATTTACCTTCTAGTTTCCTACGATGCTGCCTTCCCCTTCCTATGCCATTCTCCGTGCTTTGTTTCTCTAATATCTTCAATTCACTACTTTAAAGCCTGCTTTATTAATTTCTACTTCTTCAATCACTCTCTAGCTACCTTTTCTCTTTTAAAGCAGGAATTTCCTGGAGGGAAACACAAAACAAGGTTGACAAGGTCCAAAATATAATGTTCTCCAACTTCAACCTGGTCTTCACTAACACACGGGGCAGCATTTTGGCTCAGCCTTTACGGAAGCCCTGAAGCAGTCCAGCAGTGTGCCGGGGAGAAAAGCCCAGTTTACAGTCAATTTCTGTGGTGTAAATGGTCCCACTTGGCAGATTTCAAGCTACCAATGATTTAACAATCAGCTCACAAATTCCTCAATATTTAACAACTGGCTTTTATGAGCTGGCTCTCACGATGATTATACCACAACGAGTTTGTACTTTGCCCTTTTGTCATACATTAAATATATCAAATTCTTGCTACGGCCTTCATCTTTAGCTCAATACTCCATTATTTATAGATTTAAGTGTTTCCCCATTTATCTCAGGTGGAAGAAAAAATCTTTATGTTTGTTTTTAAAGCTAGCCCTTCCCGATCACCCCATTTCTCCTGTCCTTGCTCCTTTTATATTTTCAGTTTCTCCCTCTTCATGGCTCCTTCAAACACAGTTAAATAAAACAAACATTTTAAATTACTTATAAAAAATCATCTCAGTAGACATTGAGGGAGATGTGATAAACAGATACTTAGAAATATAGCTCCAGAACTTATTAACGATCAGGACTAGAAATACAACTTCAGCTGAATACACTTCCATTTTGTGCGGAGTGAAGTACAATACTTGATCTAGGAGTCAATGAGATTTTGAGACAGTTTAAGCCACATGAAAACATTAAAATGAAAAGAAAAAAAAAAAGTCCAGGATTGGAATTAGAGAACACTACCAACTGAGAAAGGGTGGACAATGTGACTGGAGCAAAGTCAGGAGAACAATATCCTATAAAAGTCAAGCAAGTTAGGCTTTTAAGAAGGAGGAAGTGGGTGAAGTTTGGCTAGGAAATGCCTATACTGGGCTTATTCTTGAGCCCTGTCAGGTTCAAGACTTTCAACCTTTCTGTGACACAAATAAGAATAAATAATAAAAAGGAATATAAGAATAAATAATAAAAAAATACAAATATGGAGAAAATAGACATTATTAAAATGAAGAATAAACCAACAAAACATTTAAAACAAGATGAAGGTGTCAAATATTTCAGAGGTCAGGTATGAGGTGGACAGGAAATCTGTCACTGTGTTTGGTTGGTAAGTAGAAAGGCACTAATAATCTTCAGAATAGTAATTTCGTGGGAATCGAAACTGTTGAGAAGTCAGTTCAATAAATCTTTGTTCATTACTTGCTATGTTTCAGGCATTGAGCCACTGGGTATATAATAGAAATGAAAAAGGCAGGAAGGTCTAGGAATTCCTTGTCCAGTAGAAGGGTGGTGAGGGAATGAAAGTGTGAGAGGCATGGGGTGGTGCTTTGAGACTGATGAAAGGTTGAAAGTAGGTTCTTTTCCATCAGCTACCCCCTCTCAACTCTAGAGGAGTGGAACACAAGGGTTTAAGATTGTCTTGGCATTTTGTTTGTTGGCTTACTGTTAGAGGAACTTTCCAGTCAATGGAGAGGTATAAACTGAAGACTGCTTTGGAAGAATGAAAGAGCAAGATATGAAAAGCAGCAACAAGAGGTGGGATAAAGAGAACAGATAAAAGGGTTAGCATTGCAAAGAAAGAACATTTCTTTTTCTGAGAGAAGAGGAAAGAAAGATGACTAGAGGTCTGATAATACTGGAGGTGAAGGGTAGAATCCGAAGATATTTGAATCTAATGGTTTTTTTTTTTTCTGTGTAAAATATGAGGCCATTTTAGCTGATAGAGAAGGGGACAAAGATAACGGGAGCAGGAAGGGTAGTTGACTAAGGAAGAGTAAAGCAATTGCTGGTCCAATCATCAGTGAGGACTCAGCAGAGGTTGACTGTGATAGATTTAAAGTACAACATAATGTGCTAAGTACAATTATAGAAATATGCATGTAGGCATTGTGGGAGAATTGAAGGTGGTGTTCTACAAATTCTTCCAACTTAACATTCCCAAACCAAAACTGTCTGTCTACCCTCTAAACCTACTTCTTCTATGTTCTTCCTCAGCTTGTGTTATTTCTAGTCTCCCTGGTACCTGGATTCAAACATTTGAAATCACCTCCAACTTTTTTCTTCTCTTTATCCCAAATCCAGCAGGTCACGAAGTGTTTTTCATTCTATTTGTGAAATGTATCTGCACCATTCCTTTTACCACTACTTTACCTGGGGCTCTCTTACCACTTTATAAGGCCTATTACTATAATCTCCTAGTTTTGTTTCCCTTCTGTATGCATTTAAATACTATCTTTCTAAATGACAACAACTCCCTTCTGCACAGATGATAAATTCCAGATTTCTCAACATTCAAGGCCCTGTACACATCGTGGTCCCCTTTTACTTTTTTCAGCTTTATCGCCCTTTATGCCAAAATCCCAAGTAATTCCCAAACAATCTATCCTCCCTAATACTCTAATCATTTTTCATCAAGCTTTCCTGTATCTCCCCTTCTCTTTATTTCTGTCCAAGCTTTTCTCCAATTCTAGAGTGCAGATTCTTCCCAACATAGTTAATCTCCCCCCGCCCCTTCACTCATATTCTGTACACAATATCCATTAACGTGCAATGAAAGATGAAAGTGCACATGTAGAAGATAAAGAAGATCACAGAACTACAGGTTAGAATCACAGAACTAGAAGAATCTCTTATCTATCCAATGAGAAAATGAAGGGCCATATATATTGTCTGGTTAAGTTAGACAGGTAATTCAAGATCTTTGATGACAATCCAAATATTCTGAAATATTCTGACTTCTAATATACAGGACTGTGTTGCTGTAGTAGGGGGAAGTGCAGAGTAAGTAGAGGTTATTGGCTTTGTTATTTTTTTTAAATGATTACTAATATTTTACCTAAGTAGCTTTCTTTAATTGTGAAGTTTAAAACTGCTGTATAAGCACAGGGTTTACTGGAAATCAGGGCTGGTAACATCAAGACATTATTTGCGTCCATGTAAAGTTGGAAATGTTCTATTATCTTTTAGTGCTTCTTCTTTTTCTTTAATGAGCATCTATTTGTATAGAGCAGAGCCTATATGGACTACAATATTTGTATTCACTTATGCGTAATCAC